TGGTTCACTATTGGCCTTTTCATCCTCATTTGCCCTACTGTTTGCCATTGGTGAACTGGAAATGTGTCTTTGTGTCTTGCTTAAGTTTTTTCCCATTTTTATTTTTGTTGTCTGACTGTCCTTGTTTTAATATCTCGATTATCACCCAAATCTTCCTGATATAGCTGCGCCCTAGCTTCTGGGTCTCTAACAACCCACAGACATTCTCATCTCCATAACATCAGAGAAAACAGCTTATTAAATCAACCACAATCCTTTATCCCAACCAGCAACACAATATGATCAAGAACAACTTGGAAACTGACCACCTGTGGTAGTCACTAGTCTATCACCCTTAAACCATTTGAATTGAAATCAAGAAGCAGTCCAAAAAATGTCTGCAGTGAACAAACTTTTCAATATAGTATATTTACCATTTAGGATGGGGGCTCAGACAGAGCTAGGACTCAAGACCCTTAATCTCAGTTAGCTGATGGCTGAACCTCATGATGCAGACTGACCTCCGGATGCAAGGCCCAGATTGAGTTCCCCAAACTTCTGAACGGTTGAATTCCACACCGTTCTACTACAGGTTTCCCATGCCCTTTCTTTGAAGATACTCAATTTTGGAAACTTAGAAAAATACCCTTGATGACCACTTCTACCTCTGCAGAGTGGGTCCAAAGACTGGCTCAATCAGGAGGTCTGAGATTGGGGGGGGGTTGGGGAGTTGTGGGAATTCAGGGGCGTCCGCTTGGCTACCTTCGAAGGTGCTGGAGCCATGGTGGCTCCTGGTGGGGGAAGGCTGCATACTCTTTTCTTCATCTGTTGGCTTTTGCATGGAGATGTTGGGATAAAGGAAATAGCTACATAGATGTTGGCAGCTTATTGGATTGATTTTCATGTCAGTGTTCTTAACATTAGCCTATTGTCTCTGGCCATTTCCATAGAGCAGGACATGTTGTACTCCTCTGTTGATGTAATTCATTCAGTTATCATTTATATTATGTCATTCATTCACTAGTTCATTTAGCATATATTTATGGGCTTGGTGTTGTGTTTCTCTTCTCTTCTCTTCTCTTTGGACTGTATAAATCTTCTGCACATGGTTGAAAAAGCTGAACCCAAGCAGACCTAAAATGCTTAGAGGGGTTGTGAGCAGAGAGGACAATCTGAGTAGTTTTCCTTACTACTCTACTCTGGCTGGTCAAAAGAAACTTTAGATCAGTTAAATTTGGTAAAATATATTGTAGCAAAGAAACCACTTGTGATTGAATAATAACCTGAATCAGTAACAATTGAGAGATCTCTATCAAGCAATGTATACAGGCAATAATTATCCACAGGAAAAGGAACTGACTCACAGAAAGAGCTTATTGGTTAAGCTCTATTTTTGCCTTATTTGCACATGTCTGAGCAGCGTGCAGCCATGATTGCCAGAAGCCTGACTGCTATGATTTGGCTGAGATTTGCTTACCTGTTACAAGAGTATATTCTCAAATCACCTGCAGTTTTTTTATATATTGGTTTAGCTTCCAATTTGGTATATTTTAGGTCAAATTTAACAAGATCTACCCTTGGATAACACCAATGTCCAGTTTTCTTATCTTTTGGCGGAAGAAATGCACCTGTAACAAGTCATTAGCCTTATATTTCACCAGTGGCTCCAGTGACGCAGTGCAATGTACTCTTCCCTCATCTTGTATTCTGTGAGAGTTGGGAAGAGTGGGGTGGTAGGATGAGGTTCAGTTTCTGTACTCCTTAGTTCTATCCTCAGTTTAGAGTGAGCGAGAGGTAGAGAAGTAAGGACAGATATGTAGAGATTAGCAGTAGTGAATGTGTGTGTGTGTCTGTGTGTGTGTGTGCCTGTGTGTGTGTGTGTGTGTGTGTGAGAGAGAGAGAGAGAGAGAGAGAGAGGCATATAGTCCCAGAAACCTTACCACCCTGTAAAAACACAAAACAGTTACTATAGTATAGATTTTTTTCATATGAGCTAGGTATTTTTCATCTGAATTCCTATGAATAGTAATTTAACCATCACAATAGCCCTATGGGATTGATAATATTCTTTCATGTGAAAAATAAAGACTACCGAAAATGTTAAGTCACAATGTGAACAGATTTTTGTACTTACACATATACCCAAATGGATCCTTATCTTCTATGGGGCCACTGAACCCTTTGAAGATCTAACAGAACTACAAACTATTGTATCTTCTAGAGCAGTGAACATGGAATATCCACCCAAATATCTGTACCCAGAATCAGAAGGATTGGGGACCTCCTACAAGTTGACCCCAAATTGTAGCTTAAAGATCATGCCTGTACAATGGCTACAGGGGTCTGAGATTAAGGATGTGCAGGACAAAGAATATCACCCTGGCCTATACCTGTGATCTTCTTGTCCACAGGGAAGCGTATTTGCCTTGGAGAAGGTATCGCCCGAGCTGAATTGTTCCTGTTCCTCACCACCATCCTTCAGAACTTCTCCATTTCCAGCCCAGTGGCTCCTGAGGACATTGACCTCACACCCCAGGAAGTTGGTCTTGGCCGAGTAGCCCCAACATACCAGATTTGCTTTCTGCCTCGCTCAGGGGAATGAGGAAAGTGGAACAAAGGATTTCAGGGTCATTCAGTGCCCTGACTCTGTAGAGAATGGCCCCTCATTTCCTCCCTCTGAAAATCCTGTTGTGAGCCAGCATTCTTTCCCCTACCTGCTTGCTACTCCATGCAACAGTTATTTCTGTAGGCTTCCTTCTGTACTGTCTCAGTTCTTCTAAAGTTCTATGCTGTGTTCCTTTCACATGTGGATAAAGTTGTAGAATTTGGTAATGAATCAATAATAATGAAGCCCTTTCTTTGGTGTAAATAAAGAAGCTGGGGGTAAAAGGAAAAATTTGACTCAAGGACGTTCTGGAGTTCTGCCTCCCAGGCTACATCTCATGGTGAGAGATTTCTCCCTTTCCCAGAGCAAGCACAGTTTGAATTTGTCAGCTCTCTGTGCTCTATCTTCTGTGCTAATGGGTTCTGTGTAGGAGTGTCCCTCTCCATAGCCCCAGGTGTTGGGTGCATTGGTCATACCCATTTTAAAGACAATAACAAAGGCCAGCTAATGGCATTAGCTGCCTAAGGTCACGTTGCCAGTGAGTGGAGGATCAGATTCATATTGTGGCTGTAAACCGCAACCTCCTCACTATGGCACCACTGAATGAAGATTAAGTTCACCTACATAAAATAGAACACTCTAAAGTGTGCAAGATAATGCTATCTAGTTCATTTACATGGTTCTATGTGTATTACTGTCTAGTTTCAGACATATTTGTTAGTTTTGGAGAATAAAAAACCTGTACCAATTAAGCAGCTACTCCCTGTTCCCCTTACGCCAGCCAATCTGATGAGCCAATCTGATTTCTGTCTCTATGGACTTGTTTCCTGTATGTTTCATATAAATTGACTTATAACAAGATAATGCTATCTAGTTCATTTACATGGTTCTATGTATATTACTGTCTAGTTTCAGACATATTTGTTAGTTTCGGAGAATAAAAAACCTGTACCAATTAAGCAGCTACTCCCTGTTCCCCTTACGCCAGCCAATCTGATGAGCCAATCTGATTTCTGTCTGTATGGACTTGTTTCCTGTATGTTTCATATAAATTGACTTATACAACATATAATGTGTACTTGTTTTTTTAACCTTTACATGACATTTGGAGGTCATATGATGCTGAAAAAATAGTCATATGCTGCCTTTGGACTCCCTAATTCTCCTTCTTAGCTGCTTCTCACTGCTTCTTTTCTCTGTGAAAGAGCAACTTCAACCGCTATCCCTTGTGATGTGTGACTCTATGCTGGCACCATGGATTTTGCTTTAAATCTCTTGAGTAGCAAAGAAATCTGCAAAGCCTGATCACCACAGGCGAAGAAGTGATCTCTGCCATTTCAGAGAAGCTTTTTTTGAGAGCATCTCCAACACCTCAAAACCAGCTCCATGAAGGGTCATCATGTTTACTTTTCACTGTTTGGCTTTTAGCTCCTGGAACACTGTGTGACATATGACAGTTGTTGAAAGCATATGCTGAGGAATGAATGAAAGACTAAATGAAACATTGGCTAAATCAGGCACCTCTTAATCTCCCGCTTCAAATGAAGCCCGACCTATCCTTTCAGACCATGTCCCATTCTCTATAGCTCACTTTCTTGAAGTGAGAAAAACATTCCCATTCCCTAAGAGACCAATGGTGTCAAATCTGACTTCTAGTTATACTTGATCTCTCACCCTGCATGACATTTGCTCATAGAGCCACCCACACTGGGATTGGCCTCCACATATCCTGCCCTTTGGCACTACCACACATCCTGGAGAGAAATGTAGTACATTCAAGTTTTTTTTTCTTGAAGATATCTATAGCCAGCCAGCAGTGAAGGGCAGGCTGGCTTTCAGAGTCTCCATTCAGATGCTGAACACTGGGCTTCTGTAAGGTCTTCTGCAAAGAGGGAATGAACTTTGGACTCCCTGTATTCTCTGGAAACTTAGTGGAGTTTATGCTAAGATAGATTCCTGACAACCACCTTTGCCCCAACCACAGGAGAAAAGCAACAAACACAGCAGCCTACCTTTCAAGGGAGAAGGAACTGTGAATGGCAGGTAGAGCAAGAACCATGGTGCTATTCAACTTCATCTTCTTCATCATCCTGATTAGCCTCTTGCTACTCTAGATCTGGTGCCACTCAACCTCCAAGTGTCAGCCTTGCACCTGGACCCTGGCCTCTAACATTCCTGGGAAATATGTTGCAAACAGTCTCTAAGGGTTTTCTTGAGTCCTTCCAAGAGGTAAGATGAGGAGAAGGAATGTGAGGCAGGTCGTGGGCACAAGAGGGAAAAAGATCATAGATATCAAGGCAGTCTGAGGTTCTAACTTTGGGTTGAACTCTCCAGATTAGAATTCTGTTCTTTCAGCTACCATGTGACCAATCTACTCTCTTCCATAAGCTTCTGGAATACCTATAGAATGTATGGAGAGCATGTAGATGGGAGGAGAATTTCTTATAGATTTGGGCAATTGTGGGAAAAGGAAAGCTTCAGGAAATTGGATGTGGAGAGTTAGTGCAATTAATAAAATTCAAGGCTGTGAAGGCTTTGGTAGAGCCAAGGACACTAGAGGAAGGGAATGTTTGAGGGGCTTGAATGGAGCCACATAATTCAAGTCTTGTTGGGTGGGAGCTGCTGTCAACAGAGCTCAGGCTACTGTGGAAGATATGACCCAGCTGTGACATTGGATAACCCTTTTCTTGGATGAGCTAGTGAGATGTGGACCCCGTCTCCAGAACTGTGGGAAAAGCATGACAACATCTTTACAAACAACCTGGAATCGGAGCCTCCTGTTGTCCTGTGTGGACATGAGGTAATCAGGGAGGCCCTTGTGGATCAGACTGAGGCCTTCTCTGGCCGAGGACTCATTAGGATCACTACGCACATCTCACAGGGAACTGGTGAATGAAAGATGCTTGGGAGGTGGAGAGGAGAGAACATTAAATGAGTCCTCCCACCTCTCATTCCGTGTCTTACTATTCAGATGAGACAAATGCCAATGGAAAGCATTGGAATGTCCTTCAGCAATTATGTCTAACTACAATGAAGGACTCTGAGATAGGGAAGTGGAGTAGTAAGGGGCTAATCAGAAAGGAGGCTGAGTATTTGTTGGTGGAACTGTGGAAATCGCAGGGTGAGGGATGAGGTTCTACAAGATGGTGGCATCGGGAGGGAGAGCATGACTGATAGATGCTCAGAGCCAGACAGATGCAGCAATTGAATTAGGGAGAGAGAAAGAGGAAATAAGAGACTTAAAAGAGGAACAGCAAGGTATACACAGACAGAAGATAGAAAGAGAAGATGTGTAGACATAGGAACTTCAAGATAAAAATTTAGAAACAAAGAAGATAAACAATAAATTGTCAGGGCGAGCACAAAATGTTGGCAGGAGAGGGTGATGGTAAGACAGGTATATGAAAAGAAAGCAAACACAATCTCAAAGGAAGAGTCAGAGGTAAGACTAATGAGAAGATAGAAAGAGAATGTGTAGACATAGGAACTTCAAGATAAAAATTTAGAAACAAAGAAGATAAACAATAAATTGTCAGGGCGAGCACAAAATGTTGGCAGGAGAGGGTGATGGTAAGACAGGTATATGAAAAGAAAGCAAACACAATCTCAAAGGAAGAGTCAGAGGTAAGACTAATGAGAGACACAAATATACAAAGAAAGTCATGTAACATAGACACCTAAAGTACTACAGACACAGAGGGGGAAATGAACAAAAAGAAAGGCTTAGATGAAAAGACCCAGTGAAAGAGTCTTGCCAAGAGACAAACAATTCAAGTTCGTGTGCAAAGATGAACCACCAGGTCAGAGGTACCCAGAAGAACAAGGTAAGGGACACCTAGGTCTCCAAAATAAACCTCTTTTCCCTGGAGGTTTCTTTGGGCCCAATCCTCCTTCAATCTGTGATGGCCAATATCATCTGCTCCATCATTTTTGGTGAGTTCTTTAATTACCTGGACCCCACGCTCCTGCAGCTGCTAAGTTTGCTGAATGAATCCTTCCATGCTGTCAGTTCTTTCTAAGCCAGGTGAGGACAAAGATTCCACAATTACCTAGCAATCAAGGTAGATGTATCCTAGAAAGGGATGACGTTTTTCCTGTCTTGAGCAAGAAGGCATCACCAGGCCAGATCCCTGGAGAGGAGTCCATTTCCATCTCTCCCTGTTTCTGTACATTGTAATTCCCACAAGGCTGTTGTTAGCATCTAGCATCACTCTGTAAGGGGAATTAGAAAATGGTACCCCTCCGCAAAGGAAATGTGTTGTTTAAGTTAGCTTATCATTGCACAACCTGAGAAGCTCTGCCCTAGGGAGCTCTCCAAGTCCTGGTGAGAGGTGCGCATGAACTCATGCCTTTTTCTTTCTCTCTGGTGTCTTCCTTGCTTCCCTCTAGGTGTTTGAACTGCTCTCAGGAATCCTTCAGCACTTTCCTCATCCTCATGCTAGTTTGTACAGTACCACTCAAGAAAGGAGTGATTTTTGTCACTCCAGGAAATCCTGCACCACAGTGTTCACCTCAAGATTTCATTGATTGTTTTCTGCTTGGCATGGACTAGCAAGAGCTGGGCTGGATGACAGGGGATGGGAAAGGGAGCTGGACACGGTACTGATGCTGACCTCATATGTTTGGATACCCATGTGTACATACGTGTTGTGTAAGTATTAAATACTTTCTTACAGATGATTCAGTGGGCCACCAGCCCAACCAATTTCCCCCAACCCTCTAGTACTCCAGTTTCAGCTTCCCCAAGAATGTCTTCTAAGAGATTTCTAAAGAATGCCCATCTGGCCGCGAACCCATGCTCCCTCCCCTTACGTGTCAGTTCACATATGTTCTTATTAGTCCCAGCCCACATCTGTTCTGGTTGGTACAGCAATGCCATACCAGTTGTTGAGTATCTTTATTTGATTTCTGGACAGACAGGTGCAAGAGTCAATTGGGAAAGCAGAGAAGTTAGAGGCCAGAGAAAATAATGACATCAAAAAATTAATCACTAATGTTTGTCTAGTACTTACATTCATAACGTTAAAACCACCTCAGATCATGAACTAAGGCACAGAGTAGCTACATTTCTTGTCTGGAAACACACAGTTAGGAAATGGTAGTGCCTGAATTTGAAACCAGGAAGAGTAGCTTCAGAGCCCACTCTTGGTAGTCTTTTGTACATTGTTGGAGGGCAGAAAAGATAAAAAGAAAAGGAAAAATGAATGCAAAGTGACATGGGAGTAGGGCAGAGGTAGGGAAGAAGACCCAGAAACTGGGAGAGATGCTAAGGATTGTCTGTTGTTGAACACAGAAGGTCTTAGAACTTGAGAGCATGTTTCACCGTAAGAATCTGGTCCACACAATGGATGCTGGGGCTGTTCTTTACAGGCAGGGAGATCTCTAGTACCACCCTCTGCTATGCACTTTTACTCCTTTTTAAGAACCTGGATGTGTTAGTTGAGCTGGGTTTTTGGTTCTTGGAACTGTTGGTTTAGGCAAGTGGGGCTGTTTTCTTTTAGGCTTTTGGTGTACTGACAATTAATTGAAGAAGATAGACAGAAAAGGCAGTGAAAGTATACACTCATTGAAAGCAGAAAAAAGTATGCTCTGCAGAGTGGCATAATTCCAGTGAAAAGGCTCACAGTGGCCCTGATTATAGAGAGGGAGGTC